ATTGAACTTGCATCATCTCATTATTGTTCAAGATTTGATCCTCAAGCATCTTAGTCATTATCCATTTAGTAAAGAGTCCTCTTTAAATTTCACTAACTTTTTTTTATATGTTTATTACAGTGATTTTAAAAGGCACTCGGGCGAGGCGAGGCGAGGCCTGAGCGCCTCGCTAATCTCCCAGGCGGCGCGCTTCAAACAGGCGCCGCTTGAGCGCTCGCCCGAGCCCAGGCGCTAGGCGCTTCGGGCGAGCGCCCGGGTTAACCAAGGCGACTGAACCAGGATTTTAGGTTTGGTTCAGTCTATGATGGTTAGTTGGTTCAATCGAACCAACTAAAACTGATATAAGTGACAACCGAACCTTAACCCTAGCCGCTGTTGATCCCACTGCTCGCCGCTGTCGTCGCTCGCAAGCGCTGCCGCTGTCGTCGCTCGCAAACGCTGCCGTTGTCGCCGCTCGCAAGCGTTGTCGCTGTCGCCGCTCGCGCCTCCCGCTGCTCGCCGCTCCCGCTGTCGTCGCTTGCCGCTGTCGCTTCCTCTTTTCTCAGGCAGCAGGCTCAGCACCCCTTTACACTTCCTTTTAACAGTATACGTATACTGTATACTGTTAATATTATTAAGTTTATTTGAAATGATTAATTTTCAATACTGTTAATAGATTAATAATATATTATTTTGATTTTAATACTATTAATTTTTATTTATTTAAATTTTTTTTATTAATGTGACATTGTGATTTTGTATCTTAGATTTTCTTAATTTAATAGTATATTTTTATTTAAATTTTTAAATAATTATATTTATTAATTATATTATATATTTTTATATTTTAGCGCCTCGTTTCGCTCGGGCGAACGTTTGGGCAAGCACCTAACGCCTTGGGCATTTTTGGACCTTGGCGCCTTTTGGTGCCTAACGCTTTTTAAATCATTGGTTTATTATTGGGTTATATGTCTTGGTGTTGTCGTAAGGTTTCTTCTTTGTGCCTTGAATGATTAAGATTTGAATCACATAGCCTCTCTCCTTGTAGGTCTAGGGCTCTATACATTGGCCCTCATGCACTAGCACCCCCTTTAATTATTGGATTATGTGCATTAGGATGATGTGTAATAAAATATCCATCAGTGACCTGTCATGAAATATTGTATGATAATGCACATCTCCAACTCAATATATGCTTTACATAACATGTACACTGTTAGGGGAAAAAAGTCGATGACATCCGAATCAGTCCGACACGGTTCGTACCTCCGTGTGCAAGAGAGGTTAGTTGGTCACTGAGGTTGATCGAGATTTCTTTGGGGGGTTGAGGTGGACTTGGGTGCACACTCCTTGGCTGACCTGTACAAAGACCGAAATTGGGTGGGTTTCCCGATTCGATCTTTTTGACGTTCAAGTCAGTCCTGACATCAATTACCATGCCTAAAGTAGCTTTTGATTGTAGGTTAATAAAGGAGAATATTATGTGGAATGTTCCTCGACAAAACATTCCTTAACTGTACGTGGCTCGGTTATTGGCCGGGTTTTGTCTCATCACCACTGATTGTATATCCATGTGTAATGCCACATATCGAGCTACTATTGACGGAGAAGATTAGCCCTATTATATACCATGCTTAAGTTTTTGGATTGGTATTTTATCCATTAGATTTATCTGGTGGTAATGATCTAGAAGCTCCAAATATAATTCATGCATGAATTTTGTGAACTAGTTGTCTTTTCGCTGCCTTCTCTTGATCTCCTTGTTCGTTTTGTGCCCTATTGTTTAAAGGTTTAACTTTAATTTTTCATCTCAATAGTGGACCAAGGTTTCTTTTTTGAAAACTGGATAAAAAAATTATCACAATTGGTGCGAGTAGGCGTAAATGATAGTCCGTCACTAATAGTAGCAGCAGCACTGCAGGAGGCAGTGGCAAAAGAATAAAAAACCTTGGTTTGACATACTTAGTCGTTGTAAAGCATAAATGGAGCCAATTAACTGCTTATTGAGAATTAATTTTGTTAAAAATTAAAAATAAACTGGCATTGGTTATGGCAGGATTGACGAGAATATGGATGACACGTTGACTAACGTGGAAGGAGCACAAGGTGCACTGCTTAAATACCTCAACAGTATATCCTCTAATAGGTGGCTGATGATCAAGATATTCTTTGTCCTTATGGTTTTCCTTATGATCTTTCTGTTTTTTGTTGCATAATTCTATGGCAGATTTAACAGAACCATCTTTGTTGTCAATGATCTGTGTTCTTTGTAATTTTTGTTTTTCGCTATTCCTTTCTGCACATTACATCTGATGATTGGCAAATTAGCTATTTACATGTTTTTGTTTGAGAATTATGTTCTTCCGTATGGGGCCTTTTTTTTTTGTCCCCACTTTCCTAGCACAAGAAGCCTTGTAGCTTTAGCTGGAGAAACTGTAGAATTAAGTGAGACAAATCTTAACCTACAAAGACTATATCAGCTCTGTTTCACCATATCATGATGTCATATCTTTGTTAATATCTTGTGCTCCGGAGTATTCTTTTTCCTACACAAGAGACTTGAATGTGGTTTAGTGAATTAATGGCTATCTTCCATGGAGTGCACAATGTTGTTTTGATCCTGGAGATCGAAATTGATGTTCAACCGATAGGACAAACCACCATGGAGATTTACTAATCGTGTTAGGAATCTTTTTGATCTTTTGAACAAAGTTGCAGGCTTGAAAAGTCACTGATGTACGCCTGTGTGTGCTCACTAGTTAGAAAATCACATTAAATATAGTAAGCTGAGGTCCGATTGGCTTCCTCCTCCTCTGTCCTCCTATTATATTATAGTAAGTCTCTGATGAGCAGAGCGTCGGCTGTAGTAGTCCTCTTTTTTATTATATTAACTCTTTTTTTGTTTTTTGAAGGAAAAAAAAACACGAGGTGTGAAAATTTGCTAAAATTTTTGTAGGTTGGTTCTTCAAAGCCTAAGTTCATGTTAACATTAGTGGCAGTGTGTGTCTTTGGGGTAGGGATCTAAAATTCGGTGCGGCAACCCACTTTGGATCGGATTAACTAGATTTGACCAGGTAATGGGTTGGGGTTATGGTATAATTTTGAGCAATTAATGAGGGATCAAAGTGGGGTTGGACCGGTCGATATCACTTGGTTCTTTTAAAGTAATTTCTCTGCCTGTCTTGCAAATATAATGAATGATATGGACATGTTGTACATTCTGATGGAAAAGAAACTATAGTTTCCTCTTTGGTATCTCCGCTCCTCTTTAACATGTTGTTTCCGGGCTCCACGATCAAGTTATATAATCAGTATTAATATCAATATCAGTATAATTTTCCTTTCAGATGACTCGCTTCGGAGTGAGGAGGAGAGGTAAAAGGTGACACGGGCTGGGTAGGAGGGCGTACGTACCAAGCTCACCCAAAGTTACTCTTCCAATCTGAGGTATTCCTTTTGTATATGCTTCGATCATCATTCGTAATTCAAATCGTGAGAAGGCAGGCGATAATATCTTCTTCTCCTCGTGTTTGCATAGGTGAGTGAGAAAATCTAAAGATTGATTTGCTTCACGATGAGTGAAGGAGAGTGTCAAGCTCAAATCTAAAATCAAAGTAGACAACATATGGTTGATACCTCGACATCTTGACTGAGTTGTTAGATCAATCGATGTGGCATCCTGGGTTTAGCGCACCACGAGACCACAACCCCAATTAGGATCGAGATGCCTCGTAACCACCACCAATGATTTTGGAAAGTGGATGTGCGTTTCACATACACTGATTTAGATTTCTTCTAAATCATTCAAATCCCAAACTAATTAAGCATCCGAGATACATTGGTAAGGAATGCCCTCAACTAAGTTAGGCGACCATCATCTCATAGCGAAAGGTGGATGGATGAATGAGGCATATATGTATATATAGAAAGCATTGTCGGACTAGAACTTCGAGGGCGTAGAGATGGGGAAAGCATGGTTCGCTCCCTAGTTGAAACTGTCGAGTGACATGCGCCCTCTTGACCTCCCCCATCTTGAGAGGGTTCAAAAATAATCGAATGAATGCTCCATCTCTATAGGAAACATAGAATCATAAAGAAATCAGCAAGAAACAAAACTACCAAGGCGGAAGTTAATTTCAGATACCGACCTCAAGACGTAAGGCTAAAGCCCTACTTCCACAAGCGGTGCCTTTCATTCATCTGCAAGGTAGCCATGGTCTCAGACAAAAGTGTCGGCTAGTCGATATCATTGTTCTTGTTCCAACCTATTCAACCTTGTTCTTGGGTGGACATCATTGCCAATGTTAGACCATCATTGCACATAAGGAGTCACACATAGGTTCAATGTTAGACCATCATTGCCAAGATCTCATAGATCATATATCGTCAGATTTAATGAGTGGCTAACATAATAAACACATCGAGGACTAGGACAAAAATGACGCACACATACATGCGTGACTAAAGACGTGGTTGAAATGACTAAACATGTAAATCAATGATGCGCAACCAAAACGATTGAATGCGCATATCGACAACACAATCGAATCGACCAAATGCACATATCGATGACACACAATTGAAATAGTCGAAGATCCATATCGATGGCACACAACCATATTGACGATGCACACCCGAATCCGGCAAACGTGCATACTGATGACATGCAACCGAAATGGTCAAATGCACACATCAACGATGCCTAGCCAACCGCCCAATAAAGTTTGTTTATGGCATTGATAAGGTAACTTGGATCGCTTCTAGACTCAAACCTTGTTGCGCTCAAGTGAACCAAAAGGGGGTGGGGCTAATGATATGGCATCGATGACTTGGTCAATACCTCAATACCATATAGTTGACACATAGTTGACACATAGCTGACACACATGACGACCCGAGGTTACGTAGACAACACATGGTCAATACCTTTGACACCACATAAGCAATATGTAAGCAATATGTGTGTAACATGCCAACATAATAACAACCCGAAGCCATATAGACAAAACATCACCGACACCTCTACTAAGGCAGACCAATCGATGTTTATCCTGGTTTCGATGCACCACAAGAACACAACCCTAATTGGACCCAAGAGCAATGCATAATCGTGTCTCATCATCGTTGACGGTCTCAAAAGTAATGATCCTTAAAGTCCATTATAAAAGAGGCTCCCGAGGTGCATTCCCCCCACACAATTTTCTCTAGAACTTTGTTCGAATCAGTTAAGTATCAAAAACATATTGGTTGAGAACTCTCCTAACTTAATTTTGTAAGTTTGGCACCCTCGAACACACTTTTTTTCTTTTTGGCAAAACTTCACCCGAGCTTGACACAAAAGGGACCTTAATTGGCTCAAATTCAATCTCCAACCTGAAAAACCAAAATCTACATCAACAAATACCAACAGTAATATCGATACCGATAACCAATACCAATGAATACAGATACCAAATACCAATATCATTATCATTAGTATTACAATTATTAATATCGATACCAATATCAAACCAATATAAGTACAATTATCATTACCACTACAAATATCACAATCATTATTATTATCAATATCATTACTAATACCTATTGTTCTTAATATGCATGAAAAACTCAAGATAAAAGTTGGCCCATAAAACAAGCACCCTCCACATCCTAATTAGGCACTGAACTAGGTATCCTGTTTATCATGTCGCATGCAGTTGAATAGTAGCTTATTGAAGCTATTAAATTTAGGCAAAGGTGTATAATATACTTAATTACAGAATTAAAAAACACTAATACAACGAAAGTGCCCTCTTCATCATCAGACAAGCCTCAAAACTAAAACTACGAGATTAGTAATACAATGTATCCGCCTCATCAGTTTACACACTGATTTTATTTAGTTTTCTGTGACCACAGCAATAAAGAAAAAACAGGCATATCTGCAAACAATGTTGTGTTCCCTTGATTGATTTATGACTTCAAATGTCATAAGTTATTATACATTTAATTCATTGTCAGCAGGTAAAGGCTCAAAAACTGATCCCACTTCATCCATGTTAACATCCTCCAACGTACGAGGACTCCAGTTTGGATTCTGCACAAAGAAAAATAAATATCACACAACATTATAGAGATGATGTGTTTATAGAAGTGACTCCCTTTGCTTATAGGGATTTTTAAATGTCCTGATATACTATCAAGGTAGTCATTAAACTCGATGCATGAACTTCCATTAGAAAGACGGGTTTTCATATGTATATACTCTTTAGCAAATAGACATTGATGATTTTTCTTTCCTTATGACTATTAATTTATGTCAATAACTCCCATTTTTAGAGAGATGAACAGCTTATTCATGACAAGAAAATCATATCGCTGATTTCTTACCACAAAACCTTTTCCCATAGAGATAATCTATCTAGTATTAGACAATATATATTTCTCCCAAGGATCAAACTCATACAGCAATTAGAGCCCCGAGACAAGATAATTTGCTAGTCATCATCCTTTGGCCCCTCGAGTCACTCTAGATTTAAGAATGAAAATGTAGACCTAGCTCCCTCGATTGTTGGTATACTTTGGCTTGCAGTAAAGTCGAAAACTAAAAATATCATGAAAGTTTGCACTAGTTTTGAAAATAATTAAAACAAGGAAATATGCATCACACACAAGAGGAATATTTCCCACAACATAAAACAGAACAATCAGGTCACAAGATCCAACTTATTTTAAGCCAGAATGTCCTCCTACCTTCTAAATGACATTCACTCAGTAACCGAGTGATGCTTCTAATATTCTCTTTAATGACAAATGCAAAGAAATATTTCTCACAGTTCTGAATTACCTGATCCTTGTCGACCAAGACTGCTCGGACACCTTCACCAAAGTCATCTCGGATTGAGGATCTCAAGGCAATCCGAAATTCAGCCTTCATAACTCCAATTAGCTGGAGTTACAATATCAGTCATGATTAACTGACATAATCATGTGTAAATAACTATGATTACCAACATAAGACCATGTCTATGAGACTTACTTTTGATAAGTGATGTTCACTGTTTCCATGTGCTAATGCAACTTCGGAGAAATGCTTCTGAGTTATGCAAAGAGAAAAAGGAGCACCTTTACCAAGTCCTGAAAGGGCCTCACTTGCCCATTCTGCCACTGCAGCCAAAATAATTATCACGGTATTACATACATACCATGTATCTATTATCAACAAATTCAGATAAAGAACAGGCTAACAGGTTTCCTAATGCATTTATGCTCAAAGACACACGACCAGGAAATATCAGGCAAGTCCAGCATAGAATGCAAGGAAACTTCAAACTTCATTTCTCCTTTAAGTACCAGAGAAAGTCTTCTTATGTATTGTTAAAGTTTCTGCATGCCTTCATGTTTGGCACATATTTGCAATGAACACTGTAGTTTTTTTTCACCGTCTAAGGCCTACAAAAAGAAAGAATCACAAGAAAAGGTAGCCAAACAAGTCTGCCCTGTGCAAAAGGAGGAGAAACCAGGCATTAGGACTGCTAAAAATGGGAAAACAACTTCTTGTAGTCAACAACTCTACGTATGAATATATCTGACTGATGGACCACAGCACCATAATATACCACTTCAACCACATTTGTACAGCACCAGGGTGGTGCCTGAAAGGTATAAATTTGTGTACCTATGAACTATATTTGTGGTTGATAGCTGCTAATATGACCTTATGTGCTGCAACATGCAAAGAGAGCAAGTAATAAGACCTGCATGTCGGGTATGCCCTGGTACATACTGGCATGGCATGGCATGACACTGAAAGCCCTGGCACATGCTGGCATAAATACATCCAAGTGGCATTCCATCACTTGAGTGGCACACGGGTTGGATGGAACACCCAACTCCTTGCTTGAGATACACAATGGTGAAAAATGGGTTGATTGCAGAAATGTAACTTAAAACAAAAGTTCTAATTGTGTAGTTTAATTTTGCTGTTCTCTATAACATTAATTTGTTGAGCTCCAGCGCTTGCCATAAGATGTCCCATTGTGATCCTGTATTAGCTGACATAGGCACCTTTACTTTTCTCAAGTGTCAAAACTACTTTAGACAACTGAGCTAAATGGCAATAAAGGACAAAATGGCTGACCCAATCCCATTGAATCAATGATCCTTATAATGTCTGCTTTGTTCCTCCAAGCATGTCTGGTTTAAGTAGTCAGGCTTTAGCTTTGTTAAATGGAGAATTTAGTTTTTGTATTCATCTTTATTTATTTTCAAATGGTTATTTCCATGTTTTTTTATCTGATAAAAAGTTGAAAATGCAGCAAGTTATGAGTCATCAAAGTTTCAAACAACCCAAATGGTTTCGTGACAATGAGTTCATATACACCCAATCGACAAGACAGAGAGGTCTCGTAGAAAAAGGAAATTTGAGATTTTTGTCCAACAAGTTGAATAATTTCACAATCAAATTCATTTAACTATATAAGCTCAATGATAGAATAAGGATTGCACAACATGTTTACAGTCGTGATGGCCAAATACCGAATAAAGTCAACAAACTAAAGCACTTGAGAATATGTTTTTCAGATCTTATAAATCACATTACATATAAATATCTTCACTGTCTTAGCACATGTAAACAATCTGATGAAATTCTTTGTTTGGTGTTCCAAATATTCTCTCTTAAAAACAACAGCAACCCCACATAGCTAGATAATGAAAGCTTTTTCTAACAGAAAGCCAAGAAATATTATTTACCCTGAAGTAGAGGAAAAAGGAAGTAAATGATAGCTTAAATTATTATGTTGCTAAATTAGAACATACCTGTAGAGTCAGCACTTGTTTGATGCTTTTTCAGCCCTTCTATTGTCTCAGAGACCGATCTATTTGCACTGAAACATTGAGCAATCTGAGGAAAAAATGTTTTCATTTGAGCCTCCGAAGCAGGATCCTTCTTGTACCCAGCTAACAGTGCATGGATGTCTTTGTCAGGCTCATCAGTGCTGCAAATGGAAAATATAACAAATCAATATTATCTCGATGATTAGAAAACATAATTAAAATGCATTTGGAGTGATCAATTTTATATAAGATATGCCAGAAATTTTACTGGTACATCTTTCATAAAAGCCATGATTAGAAACAAAATTTTCAGTTGCTTCGGTGGAGCAGGCATAAAGATAGGACATTAAGAGACAAAACGGAATATGCTAAAAGTTGTAATTTGCTGAAACTGGGTAGGAAACATACAAAAACTCAGATTGAAAGGCTGTAAAGAATCAGCCTAAGAAGAAATTTAGAATGTTATTGGATTCAATGACAGCACCTTCTAGTTGCTTTTAGATTCACTTTAAGCCAAACAAAAAAAAATTAATTTTCATATTCTTTTCGTTCTAAAACAAGTTCAGTGAAGCATCACTAACATGCTTTTAATGGATCACAGGAGCCAAGCAGCCTACAAATATTTGTTTCAGCCCAAAAATAATATGAATATTTGTATAAGTTATCATTCAGCAGGTATACATTCAGATTCCTGCTTGACCTAATCTGCAGGGTGAATCTGAATTTCAATATCAAGTACAAAAAATGAACTATAAGGTCAAAGCAATGAAGTGAATACATTCTTAGTTTTCAGGACTATCTTTAAACGATTAGCAATTTAAAACTTATTCAAGGTATTCAATGGTCATCTATGGCAGTGCACACATGATCCACATCCCAAAGAAAAAAATAAAAATAAATAAAACCAATTTGAACAATTTTTGATAACATACAAGTTGACCTTTAGCAGAGCTTCCTTGAGTTCAGCCAAGCTTCCAGATGGAACAAAATGTGTTCCAAGACCTACATACAGTGCATCAGCAGGAGAGGATATTCGTTTCCCAGTCAGTCCAAGGTAAGCACCTGTAGCCAAGATAAGATGCAACTAAATTGACATAAGAATGTCACACCAGAAACATCCTATAAGAATACATTGGTGATTGCTTCTAAAAAAAATCTTTCATTAAAGGTAATTGATTGTGCAGAATCCAGATAAAATTTAATATTCCAAACCAAGGTTTTAAAGACTGTCCAATATTTATTTCACCGAACAGTCAGAATTGTACAATACTGAAATATACCGGATAGTATATCGAACCATACACCAGATAAAAAAATTAAAAAGTAATATCAAGCAGTACCAACCTAATGGTCTAGTAATGGTCCTTGAACAGATCGATAGATAATGATTGGTATGTACTGGTCCAACCGGTATTTGAAATAAACACTCGTATGCATGTAGATCACTTGTAGAAATGCCATTGTCTCCCACAATTATATGCTTTCTGCTTGGTGGAAAAATTACAATGTGATCATTCCAAAGACCAGGTAAGGTTCTAAAAAATAACCAGGTAGTTTTTGTCCATAAACCTTGTGATGTCATAAAACTACAACAGAATATAACTCCAAAGATCTCTTTCCCATCCCAATCAGGTTTCACTTCATCCAGGATTTAAGGAACAACCTCCAAACAAAGAAGTGCTTGCCAGTGCTTCTACCTAAGTTTACAAATGCACCAAATCTTGATCTGATCCACTCCAACATCTGATCTGGTTAGGCTGGATATGGATCATATAGCTTGAGCTGAATTTGATCCATGTATAACATATCTGGTGACATTTCTGGCTTTGAATCAAGATTTTACGGTAAACAACATATAGTGAGGTCATGAACTAGCATTCAAGAGGACTTATATCCCCCTGACAATAGAAGACTGTGCTATTTTGGTTTTGTGGCCTTTCTCATCCTTCCTGACCATATAAACTGCTAGTCATTCTTTCTTATCATCATCCCCCCTGATAAGGGAGGTTTGCAAAATCTGACTTAGCACCCCGTCCTCGCTTACAGTACAATTAACACCTCTTTTCTGTCCCTTGTCTCTTTTCCTTAACACTCCTCTTTCCTTCTTGGATGATAATCACCTAGCAGCATACAAAAGACAAAATACATGACAAATTAATGCACATAAGGAGATGAAGGGACACCGGAGATGAGATCCTCTTCAATAACCTCCTCGTCTCTTCCGCTTCCACTATTGCCTCCATGGTTTTCCAGCTCAATATTAATTGTGACTACCAACTCAGCTCACGGAGGTTAAGATGGCTCCATCTGCAAGTATGCCACTGATAGTATCCAGCACTGACAGTATCAATATTAATTGCATGCAGCAGATATCCTGTTCTATGTTGTACTCTTTTATCTGCCTTAATAATGTAGCTTAATATTTTTTAGTGAGATTATATACTTCCTTAATCGTAAGGAAATTGATCAAAGCAGTAATTTATTATTGAATGAATTTTCTTATAAAAAAAAGACTAGGCATTTTTATTATGTATAGTCTTGTGCAAAATAAAATGCAGAAATTGCAAAAAGACCAAGAAGTGAAAATCTCCCACTTACAAGACATAACTATATATAGCGTCTTCAAAATAGATTATGAATGCTTCAGGTAGACAAAAAGGAACCTTCATCAAATTCACTAATAACATATCATTATTTAAGAATGCATTAAAAAAAAACACATCAGTAACTCAAAAAAAACCATTAAGCTTCTTAAACAATAAACCAATGCAATACAATAGATCTTGCATGGACAATAACAATTCAAAGGTCATGATTTAGAGGTACTCATATCCAGAGGGGTCTGAAACTCTCGGAAAGATGCTATATTAAAGCAAAAGATTATAAGTTGGTTACATCAGTTAACCTAGAAGCTTAAGTTACATACCAACTGCCCCTCCTCCTGGACTGTTGGCAACAATGTAAGCGAAACCAGCATCTGGAAATAAACCAATTCCATTTTCTGGCATGGCAAGGAGAGTTCTCTGATACGATGCCACATCAACAGAGATATTAGATGCAAGTAAACTTACTAACCAATGCCAACAAGTACCAGCATAACAGCACTGAAAAGTTGGTACCTCAGTGATGATACGAAATCGACCATGACCAGACAACCCGATACCAAACCCCATAGTCACACCATCCATTAAGGATATATACGGCTTTTTATAATCAGATATTTTACATATCAAAGAATATTCTGCAGAAAAGACCTGCAAAGCAAATAACTTATTTGAACCATTAAAAAAGCTTGATGGCTGAAGGATCCTAAAGTCCATATGAAATCAAAATCCAAAGTCTACATTACAAAAGGAAGTGTCTTTAAAGGGATGCAATATTCAACTATCACAAAGGATGACATGTAAGCAAGAGAACAACCTTTAAAAAATCAAGAAGATATGTAGATTGTCCAGTAAAAGTTAACATAATATACAGTATATGTACATTTCTAGAACTCCAAGACCTCAAAGGAACAGACTTTTTCACTTAAACATAAACAAGTGGAGAGAAAAGAGAGATATATATATATATATATATATATATATATATATATATATAGAGAGAGAGAGAGAGAGAGAGAGAGAGAGAGAGAGATTTCAGACAGGTCATAAAATCAACATCTATGGATTATTTCATAAGCAACTGTAAAAGAAAATTTAAAAGGACGACAAGATGAATTTATAACCATATATATATAATCTGAAATGCATGTAGATGAATTCTGCATGAAGCCACTGGACAAGGAAACAGACATGGTTTTCAAACATATGCTATACATGACCAAGGGACGGAACAATTGGAGACCTACTTCAAACTAGTCACCTTCTCATTTCTAACAGATCAAGTAAAAAAATTACAGTATTTATAAAGTTTTGTGGCCAGACTCAATGTTCAGGACCATTAATGCAAAGCTAGAATTTTCTGAAAGTAAGATATCATGAAGCAAAACACAAGCCAACATGACAAACAACACAAGAGATGCATTATATGTTAAAAGTGACGCTGATATTCTGCTATTGCTGGTAAACAATACTCATACCTCAACAGAGGCCAAACAATTTTTGGCAATGTCACCATTTACTCTGCTACAAGATCATTTGCACAGAAATTTTTTGTTTGTGTAAATATGGCTAATATGAGGAGTGATCCATGTAGCTGAACAACATGAATGGAATGGCATAAAATGCTAAATCTGAAATTATCAATCGTAATTACTCAAGTCATACACTAAAATTTTCCTTTTAATTATTTCTAAATGTGGAAATATCAGGTTGTAACATTGACACTAGTTCCCGCCATGCAATGAGGTCTTGCAGTAGAATATAGAAACCTGACATTAAACGAGAGAAGTTTGCTTTCCAATCTATGAGTTGTCTTTAAGTGCAAAAGCAAAGAAAAATGACACTATATCATGCACCAAAAAGAAAAGCAAAGTATGAAATTTATTTCTATTCAAGAGACCTTTGGCACAAGTGGTGTAGTTTTGTCCTTTTGAATTTCTGCTGCTACACCCTTAATATCCATCCCTGCAGTGGTTATTAAGCTGGTACTCAAGTCAAACCCAGTTTTCTTAAATGTAGAAACACAAACGGAAATGAAAATGTAGGTTTGGACAAGGCAAGAAGCTTAAAATAAATATGAAAAAATGTAAGATACAGATGAATTACCTGCTGAAAAGGCACGAGGTGTGCTGCTTTCAACTAAGATGCATTTCACCCTGGGGTTAGTTTCCCACTCATCCAGAAAACCCTTGTATCTTAAGTCCATCTCTGCAGCATTGATTTTAGTCAACCACCAAAATACCAATGCAACATATACGAGATTAAGAAAGAAGGAACCACCAGCATCCTATGCCATGTTCTCTTCAGAAGAGAGCCAGTTGTATATATCTCACAACAGTTTACTTTCAGTAATCCAGTTGTGAATTTTCTTGTTTAACAGCTAAACCAGCTTGCAGAAATATCGTATAATTTTTTGATTGATGTAATTACTTTTTAGAACTTCCACGATTATCAAAATCCCAGCAGCAACTCGAGCTGGCAATAATTGCCCTCACTAGCAGCCAGTGAGCTGTTAATTCTCTCTTGGGATGATAAAAAAGATGGTACAATCTCCTGATCGATCTGAAGTTTTCTCCATTAAGAACTTGTACAGGTAAATCGATCTAATTGTTTTCTCTTGTACGAACTTGTATATGCAACGATATCACCTCCCTTATCAACTCAAGAACTGATCCGAACAGAACAGAATAGCTGGAGTAGATGGAAAAAGAAGGGTGAAAGAACTATGAACCGAGATTCATGGCGTTGAGGGCTTTGGGCCGATCGAGGGTGATCACGGCGACGCCGTTGGGGAAGATACGACCCTTGACGAAATCCTCCGCGGTGCCGGCCATGGCGGCGAGGCAACGGCATGAAATGGAAGGTCGGAAGCGATCGAAGAAGGGGGAGTTAGGGGTGGAGAAGAGAGTCGAGGGGAGAAGGGGGCGGGAGGAGGGTTTCAGTAGGAAGTGGAAGCGAGAGAGTAGCGCACGCATTGTAATCTGTTCTCTGTGGAAAGCGCCGAGCGAGAGGGTAGCCGGCACAAACCACTCCTGCGACTAAGGTGGAAGTCGGACGGACGAACAAAGGGGGCATTTGGGTGACGTAAAGCCAGGGTGAACAGTGATCACTTGGTATCGCGAGTGGGATTTCCTGCGTCACCTAGAACAGCATTCTTTCTCAAACGGACGGTTTGGGACCCACCACATGCAAATGTAGATGGTCCACATCCACATTATCATGACGTACCGCACGGCGATACGCGAAAGATTACCGAGACTTCGCGCGGGGCCCGCTTTCTTGCGTCAGCCACGCACGAGGAGAAGGATCTGGGTTGGCTGGTCGCTTGCTCACGAGGAAGAGTTTTGAGAGAGAAAATGACCAAAAACGGGACAAATTCTTAAAAAATTTATTTTTCCATATAATATTTTTTTATTCTCTGTTATTTATTTTTTATATTATTCTTGGTCTTTGTCCCATCGTGATAGTCACCTCCGCATGATCATCATATCAAGTCTACATTTATTGTGCTTGTCTTATCACTCTATATTACGAGTTATCTTTATCACCAAATATCCTTATAACTACATTTGTTGCATCCGTTATAACCATCACATCACTCTATGCTACGTATAGGTTGCCTTCGCCACCACCATCAAGCCCTTATCACTGTGCTCATTGTCTCTATCCTGTTGCCCTACTATAGTTCTTCATTGTGATTATTTTATCACTCTACACTATGGATTGTCTTCATCAGTGTCCTTGTTGCCTCTGTCCTTTTGTTTTGGTGGTCACCTAACTTCATAAGATCCCTATGTGTATGGCTCTAGTCTACCCCTAAGAAGCCTCTGGTGTCGACTACTCCCCTTTTAACCATATCAAAGGGATAAAGAGTAGAGAGGAGGGGGATGAGATGACTATTGGTGGTGCAAGAGGAGATGAGGCATGCTTCCTCATTCGTGACCTGAGAGAGATGAGTAATATGATCAAGAGCACATCAAAGAGAGGAGGAATAGTAAAAGTGATGATGACCATGCATGATTGAGGATGTATCTGGTATTTATGATCACATTCGCAATAGCCGGAAGAATAATAACAACATGGGTGGTGGGCAAACATGCAACCTATTAGATGTGATCCAGAGAATGGAAGTAATGTGGTGTGGCTGAAGACGAGGCATGTGTTAGCATGCATAACAATGCATTACTCATGGTAAAACATCATGAAAGAGATAATGTAAGTTGCACCACTTCTATCCTATCGCTTCCTTCGAACACCTTTGTCTCGTCCCATTCCTGTGTCGCGAATAGCTACCCATCACCCTCCATCCTTGGAGGGGTGAGAGGGGCAATGTTGAGGGGAGTAGTCAACGTCAACAATAGAGACTCCATAGGAAAGAGGTTGGGACTTTGTATAGAAGGAGGTGATGACAACGTGGAGGAGACAATCGACGATATAACATAATTAGACGATCATGATAAAATAGAGATGGTGACAACTAGTGATGATTTTATCTTTTAAAAAATAAGAGGCACTCTAAAAAATAAAAAAAGGACATTGGGAAAAAAAATTGAGATTTAAAAAAAATAATTTACATGTAAAAATTTATCATATTAGGAAAAAAAATACTAATAATCTTTTTTATAATAAAAAACCACAACTGCACGATATATTATAGCCTATTACTAATAATCATTATGACCATCGATATCAGTTATTTAACACCTAAAACAAACCACATTCATTTATCAAAATTGAGAGTTTGAATCATATATATTTTTGACACATGAGACATTAGTATTTATTTATTCACTCAAAAAGGATAATAATGGTTAAAGTATCTCCAAAAAATCTCATTGTAATGTTAATTCCTCCTTCCATTCAAAGGTCCAAAATTACTGATTAAAAAATACGACTGTAAAGGTAAATTTATCCAAGTTACATAATTAAGACTCACTAAGTATAAACCAATTTTTTATTAAGAGTACTTAACAAGTCAAAAATATTCAAAATCAATCTAAAAGAGGGCGAAGATTAGATTCTCAGCAAGGAATCAAACTATTTAACACATTTGATATCGAATTATTCCCAATGGATCACCTTCTTTAATGCTCATTTCTTTTTTTCTACAGAAGTCATGTGTGATAATTCATTTTTAATGAGTTGTAACTCATATGCTGAGGAAAATGTGACTTAATTCGACTATATATATATATATATGTATATATATAAAACCAAATTCACATGAAACTGAAAGCTAATGACATTAGGATATAATAATGATAATTACAACTAAGTCTTTCATTTTTCAAATGATTGTTGAAATCACTACATGAATATTATCTCCGCCAGAGAGAATGAAGTTTCTTTTAGGATTTAAAGAAGACCAAAATTTGCCCCAACAAAAGCTACACTACCAAGCCGTGGACCACAAGCGAAAGTACCCCATTAAAGGAGGGCATGGGCCCTACCAAACTTATGTCGCATCGGAGAAGGCGGTGGAATGAAAGGTAAAATTTGGGAGTCGAAGGGAACGGGTGCCTATTTCCATCTCCCAATGGCACACTTCGTAAATTGATTTAAATGTATGATCATTTACGGTATGGATTCGACCGGCAAAAGTGAAAAGGTCGAGTCGTCGTCTTTTAGAAATTTCCAACCCTCATGACTCGTCACGTGAACGGTCCATATTCCCGCTAACGTTAGCTCGGATCCCACCCGTCCGTATCATCGATCTCATCGATCTCGGCCGTGCGTTTCTTCGCGATTGGTGCCGTTCGGTCCTCGGTCGTCACCATAAGAAATGTAGACCGTCCGATCGCTCAATCAGTCCTTGTCCTTTTCCTTGTAGCTCGCTTTTGCTATTTCCCCATTTCCCTGTTTGCTTTTTTTTTCTTATTGTTATTTTACGTTCGGAGCCATTACGTCTCCTGGAACGAAGAACCCTAGGCCCAGGACTTTTTCCAAGGTTGATAAATCACCGTCGAGAACATTGATCGATCGGGCGATTCCTGCGGGCAGAAGGCGGGATTGGACTGAGAAATCGGTTTGCCCGTCGATTGCGGATCCGATCGATCGGAGATTTGGCTTGTATCGTCTTTCTTGGTACAGGTATGTTGTTTTGACATCTCCGGCCTCGATTGCTTCGTTGTTGCCGGGTGATCGATGGGGCAATTGAGACTGCTTGACGATCTTTGTCGTTTAGGTTTGTTTTAGGAGTACATTTGGCGTCATGCGGTCGGAGTTATGCTTACAGATCCGACATTGGGGCTTCGCTCTCCTCGTCATGTGATGGGTGATAACATTTGGGGGTTTCTGTTTCTTTCATTGGAATTCAGGAATTGTAGATGGAAATTAGCTTTGAGAGGGCTGAAACATCCGATATACCTACGAAGCCGAGTTCTTTGGATCTCCAGAGCATTTGCGTGAAGAATTCAAGGAGCTCTGATAGAAAATCCTGGGCCGGGAAGGAGGTTTTGGTGTTGGAACAAGAATCCAGAGTTTTCAATAGGAAGCTTGGATCCGCGTTTGTGGAAGGAGGAGAATTTCTTTCAGAATCAAGAAGGAAACCAAGCAGAAAAGAGGCTTCTGTGAGCAGTCTCGAGCGTGGTTCTAAGAGGCAGCGCAACAGTTTAAATGTCTCAAGGCCGAAGCCAAACTATATTTCCTATGCTCAGAAGAGGGACAAAACCACCAACACAAGTGATGCGACACTTAATCTGGATTGGTCAAGTGGGAATGAACAATATTTAGAAACTGATCTTTATTCACAGTTGTCCAAAAAGACAGATCATACATCTTCAAGTGGTGGAACCTCTAAAAACGAGAATTATTTGGGAGAAGATCTCTTTATCCCGAAGCGGCCTAGGGGTATCTTTAAGTGGAAAAAAGCTAAAGACCCTATTAGCTTGGGAATTCCAGTTGGTAACTCTAATCATGAGTGGATTAATACTGATACCCAGGACCAAAAATCATCGATTAGTGTAAATTTAAATTCACCAGTGTTGAATGACAAGCAGAAACAGAAAGCTGATGATTTTGAGCCGAATGGGTTCAATAAAGATGATTCTGCTCCTTGCACTAGTGTTGAAAATGAGAGTCATTTTGAGGATGATGATAGAAAGGTTGGAATTAGAAGGAAGTTGAAGATGTCTGAATGGAATTGTACTGGGAATGATGCACCTCTGATAGACAACTCTGAGGATTCAGTTGGGGATTCTCTGGATGATGATGAGGAGAACCTTGAAGAAAATGCTGCTAGAATGCTTTCTTCGCGATTTGATCCAAATTGCACTGGTTTCTCTGGGAAGAGAACATGTGCAGCAGATCTGGTAGAAGGATCATCATTTTTGCAATCTGCCGGTGGTAGGTTGAAGGTCTTACAGGCTGAATCTTGTTCAGTAGATGCCAAAGGTCGGGTGCTTCGGCCAAGGAGGCACAATGGTAAAAGCTTTGCTAGGAAGCGTCGCCACTTTTATGAGGTTTGCTCAAGGGATATGGATCCCTATTGTGTCGTTAAGCAGAGGATCAGAGTATTCTGGCCTTTGGACAAAAGTTGGTACTTTGGCCTAGTCAAAGGTTATGATCCTGTAACTAGGTTGCATCATGTCAAATATGATGATCGTGATGAAGAGTGGATAAATCTCCAAAAGGAGAGATTCAAGCTGTTGCTTTTTCCAAGTGAAGTTTCCAGCAAGTTTAATTTTGGGAAACCAGGGTCCCAAGTAAGACAGAAGAAAATAGAAAAAAAGGTACAAGCCACACAGAGCACTTACATAGGCAACCTCCTGGAATCAGAACCCATTATCTCATGGTTGACACGCACAAATCACCAAGTTACATCCTCCTCATCTAGTACCATAAAGAAGCATCTTAGAGTTCGTCCTTTGAAGGACATCGGGCCATCTGTGTTATCAGAGCCAAGGGAAAATATGTCAGTGAATCCGTTGGATAAGAATCTAAATAAATTATTTTCTAATTTCAATGAGTCAGACCAGGCATGTGATTGGAATATTAACAGTCTCTCTAAGCTAAAGAGGAGTATTGGCTGTGAAGGAAGGAAGTTACCTTATGTTTATTTTAGGAAACGGTTTCGCAGCAGAAAGGATATTTTGGACACTAAAGTGGCACACAACGTTGCTCCTGATGGCCCAGGTGGTTCAATGACCATTTGTGCTTCCATTGCCAACAGCACAACAGCTATAGAGAGATTCAATATAATTTTGACATGGTTGGAATTCGGAGAAGTAATATTTGAGTCGAGCTTACCACCACAATGTTCTCTGGCACTTGCTTTTCAAAAAGAAAGCATTTGGCTCTGCCAATCCCTTTATATTCTGCATCATGGTCAACTAGTTTGTGCATGGCCTACTGTTCATATGGAGGTCTTTTATATTGATAATGTTCTTGGGTTGAAGTTTCTGTTATTTGAGGGTTGTTTAAGGCGTGCAGTCTCTCTTTTCTGTTTGATCATCACAACTGTTAATGGGCATATTGTGAAGAGTAATTTCACCGAGCCAGAAGTATCATGCTCATCAATTGGGCTTAGGATTTCAACCTTGCACAATTTAGGTGTAAAACTTCTTTTTGTTTTGAATACCTTCTTCAATATGGAGAGTTTAAAATGGAGGCATCTTGAAGATAAACTGAAAAATCATTGCACAAAGGAGGCATTAATAACGACTGAGTACACTTGTTCAAACATCCATGAGCTCCCTGGCGGTCAAATAGTCCACAGTTCTGATATGTCACTTGAGGTACTCATTTCTGTTTCTTACTGGGCTGCTTTGCTGACAAAATGTAGTTGTTCTTAATGTTCTATGTAATTCATTTTACTCTTCTTGTGTGTAGAAATTTGTTTTAGCATTTAGAATGACAATCTCTCTACTCAGTCCGTATGAGCTTGGTGCTTCAGGTGATTAGAAATATTACATGATTTGAATTCCCTCTAGTGTTTAATCCTTATTTGCCCCTGACAAAGAGTATTAAGTGCACTTACAGAGGTTGCAAAGCATGTCTGGGACACTGTATTTAGCATCTCTAGTTATGAGCCCTGCAAAGAATAGTTATCAGAACCAAACTAGTCATTGGCCCGGCCAAGCTTCAGTTCACTGGGTCACTAATTGGCCAGTAGGTCAGCTAGTGGAATTGCAGAATTTAATGAAACATATTAAATACACACACACATATATAATGGCTTTACCTGTTTTTTTCTCTTCTCGTCCTCTTCATCTTCTCCTTCTCCTTGATTTTCAATGGATAAGCCCGGTTTAATACTGGATGGTAGAGCAGTAAAACCATTCACTTCTTGTACAACTGCTAAGGTTTTATCACAATACGGTAGCTATGGCAAACCAATTAACTCATTGATCTTTTGCACAACTCCTCTGAAGTAAACCTATATCTATTAAGTACTACACTTTAAAGGGATTCAAATGGGACTAGACAAAATTTACAGCTTCATGTTCGAGCTGCTCATGCAGGGAAGTAGGCCTTCTTAGCTCCATCTGTTGATCATCCATCATCCTTTTCTCCTTGTAGACGCAATATTGTTCCTCTCGTCCTCTTCTTTTTATTCCTCTGCTATCTTTTTACTTCTTTATCTCCTCATCCTTTCCTTCTCCTTTTCTTCTCAGTGCGATCACCATTTTTTACAATTTTCCTTAATTTATTAAGTGGAATTACGATGAAGAATTACTTTTATGCTCCCAATCATTTTCCAATTTGATTTTGGAAAGAAGGGAATTAATGCCTTTTTTAAATATTTAAAACTGGTCGGTTCATGCAAAACAAGTTAATTCTTATTTTTAACTAAAATTCTGGTTGAGTTGGTTGGTTCATTCTGGTTTTTTCCCTGATATTTTAATGGGACTCACTTCTCCAAGAGCCTGGTCATGTTTTTCCTTGTCAGAGTGATCAGTGCAGTCCATTTCTGATAAATATGCTGTCAAGTAAGCATGTTTCCTTTATGACATGAGGCTTTTTTCTCGTTAGAGATTATTCAAGGATTTAGTACATTCTGAAAGGAACAAAGAAATCCTGGTAACCTGTGGTGTCGATTGTCTGGATCTAGACAAAGTGTTTACTTGTAAAGTGGTTGGATTGTCTACGAACTAAGTTTAACTTGTCACATTGTTCTAACAATGTGTGAGAAGTAGAATTGTTCTTCCTGGCTTGTGCATTATGTTGTTCTGCATGACTCCAAGCCAGATAATCTGAGATATTATCTAGATGTCATAGCTTACCAAAATTAAATGACAGATATGTGTATGATTGCGAGGTATAATTCCGACCTTGTGAAAAGTTCCTATTTGCTTGTTTTAGGTTTAAATAAATATAAACATATTCTAAAATAGGCAAAATCATAATTGGAATAATTTGTAAATTAACTATTTCTGAAGAATACCTTGGACATGCTTTTAAGTCTGTTGGCTGGCATTTGTAGTACTTCGACTTTCTTGTGCGTGTTATGGCATCACAATCTCAATGTTATTCAACTACACCTACATGCATTGTACTATGCTTTTGTCTTAGATCTAATAAGTAAATACTTTTTTAGTTCATCATTTGATTAGTCAGATCCATGAGCAACAAATTGAACTTGGCATATTCCTTGTATTGTTGTCTGGAAGGTGTAACTGCATATCTGGAATGTTTGTACCACAGAATTTTGAATTTTGATGGACTTTAGTTGTTTAATGCCTACTAATTCCTGTAATTAGTTAACTTATGTGTTATAGTGTTACACTACCTAATTTTGCATTTGGTGCAGTTCAAAACTTTAAGCACTGGAGATTTGTCATAAACATATTATAGTTGTTCTAGTAGTTTTATATTAGGCAAGCATCTAGTTGGTAAGGAGCAATGCCCAGAACCTTAAAACTTTAGGCTCATATTTATTTGCCTGACTTCAAATACAATTTATGTTGTTTTAATTGAATAAGAATGAATTTTGCATATGCATCTGGTATACTTTTCTTGGTGCAATCATGAGAACAGCAAGGTATTATTTCACTCTAGGAACTTTATAATTGTTTTTACTGGTCCATCTTGGAAAATTATTGTGCCAGATGGGCCTGATGAAATATGAAATATTTGGGAAAACTGGATTTGTTGTTGGATTTAGGCAAATGAGTTTTGGACTTTCTATATTGATGTAGTTGATATCCGAATATACTGTGAGCTGTCTTTGCAATTATCCATTTGGTTCTCAAAGCCTGTGCAATAGTTGGTTTAGATAGTTTCTGATGTCTTTGCTCTTTCCTGGTGATTTTTAGGCAGTTAGAAAGGATGCTCTTCTTTTATATTAAAGGCATTCTTTACATGTCACTCAATAAACTTGTATTTAAGCCAATATCTACTTCATCAATTAGTGAGTCTGGTTTGACCAATCTTTTATGTCCTTTTTCTTCTTTTGCAGAGATTCTGGGAAAGATCAATCCTGGTTCATAGGTCCAATCCGGAGAAATTGGTTGATACAAGTACAAATTCTGTTATTCACTATTTGGCTCAAGAACATGAGAAGCCTCTTCTATGTTCCCAATTTTTTGCTGCTGGGCCTTCATTTTCACTCAGTCTGCATCTGAATTTGCTGGTTGTGAAAGATCCATCTTCCTTTTGTTCTGAAGACAACATTTTAGTATCTTCACAAAAACACACAGATAATAATGATAAATTGACAGCTAATGGCTGCTCTTCTGCTGAGGACCCATCTAAGCAAGCTGCAGAAACTCTTGATAACTCAGGGCCCTTGTTGAGCCAGGCACCAGCAAGTCATGGAAGACCAAGCACAGATGCTTTGTGTGCTGAAAATGATGGTAATTTGAATGGATCCACTAAGAATTTTTTCACTAGTGAGGTTAATGTGATTCGAAATGCTGTAGGTGGTAGTGGTAATGGGGTGAAAAGCACTGGCGATGCGGGTGCTATTCAGTTTGGAAGATTTTCATGCAAGGCTGGAACATCACAATTTGTTGAGGTTTCCTGTTCTGAATATCCTAAAGGTTCCTCTCCAGACAAGTCCCTTGATAGAGGATGCAATTCTTGTATCAATACTGCAAACCTCAAGGCTCAATTGTTTGATGAAGTTGAGAATCATTCTCTTCATAAAGGATTGCTGATTGCTCACCCTGCATCTAACTTAGTCCTTGAAATGAATGCACACACGATACACAATCCAACTGCTCCGCGAAGCATGTGGCATCGCAATCGCCACACTTCACTTTCACGGACATTTATTCATCCTCCAAAATTTGGTTCGGAAGACCTTGTGGCAAATGGCCCTACTAGTCGCTGCAGGAGGCGTCGAACTCAAGTTTCATATTCACAGTTATCTGTAGGTTATGAACATTCTGCAAAACCCCAAAACAATCACCAGAAGGTACAACCTCATAGAAAAGTGAAGACTCTTCTTGCAAATTTTTCATCAGATTGTTCTAGAAGTCCTCAAAATTATCTGGACTCAGTAGACTGTGCTGCTAATGTCCTTGTTACTCATGGTGACAAATGTTGGAGAGAATATGGAGCCAAGGTTCAACTTGACTGTGATGATAAGAAGAATTGGAGAATATGTGTAATGGTTTCAGGGGCTACCAAATATGTCTACAATGCACACCATGTTCTGCAGCCTGGATCCACAAATCGTTACACTCATGCAATGATGTGGAAAGGAGGAAAAGAATGGATGTTAGAATTCACTGACAGAAACCAGTGGTACATTTTCAAACAAATGCATGAAAAATGCTACAACCAGAATATTAGGGCTGCATCTATTAAGAACATTCCCATTCCAGGAGTTCACATGCTTTCAGATGGTGATGATGGTTATGTTGAAGTGCCTTTTGTGCGTGGTTCATCAAAGTACTTTCGACAGATGGGAACTGAAGTTGACTTGGCCTTGGATTCATCTCGTGTGTTGTATGACGTTGACAGTGAAGATGAAAAATGGATATGCACAATGAGAGTTACTATGGATGCCATGGATGGTAAGATGCCTGAGGTTACAGAGGATATCTTTGAAAAGGTCATCGACATGTTTGAGAAACTTGCATATACTCTACAGTCCGAGGAGTTCACCAATGATGACATCGAAAGATACATGGCTGATGTTGGACCAGCAAACGTAGTCAAAGTTATTTATGAGTATTGGAGGCTGAAGAGAAAGAAGAAAGGTTTGCCTCTGATTCGGCAATTTCAGGTGAGATTTGATTAGTCTACATTCTTTATCATTGTATTTTTTTTTCTCTTGTGAATAAATTCATGCATATGCTGGATTAAATCTACTGCCAGTGAGATGATTGCTTATTAGTTGTTTTAGACTGCATATGTTGTAGCCTTGTAGGTGTTAACATGACTGCTGCTTGCTTGAAGTCTTCAGGGATATCAAGTTGTTCAAACATGGCTACTCTCTTAATGTTCTTTCTGTCATTATGACACTCCCTTGCAAAGTGTCCTTCGCCACAAAGGTAGCATTTGCACTTCTTATTTCTTAGTAAATGCTTCCTCTTTTCAATCCTTGCATGGGAAGAATGGGGCTACTCTCTTAATGTTCTTCGCCACAAAGGTAGCATTTGCACTTCTCCTTCTTGAACAGATAATATCTCATAGTCTTCAGGGATATCAAGTTGTTCAAACATGGCTACTCTCTTAATGTTCTTTCTGTCATTAGGACACTCCCTTGCAAAGTGTCCTTCTTCGCCACAAAGGTAGCATTTGGATGCCAAATGCTCTTAATGTTCTGGATGCCAATCGCATATAATCATTTAAGAACTGAATGATATATTTAAGGTTAGTGCATGACAACCTTTCAAGATCACGGTAGGCCTCCTCCTGAGCCGTGGTGGATCCCTGGAACGGATCTTCTAATATAAAAATTGTTCTTAATTGGGAGAGAATATTTTGTGTACCTCCCGTTCCATCTGCATTGGCTATGGAGTACCTGGAACGGATTTTGTGTACCTGAGTCTTACTTGACCTCAATTCTGTAATATTGAATGAAAACGCGATTGAATGAAAACTAAGCGGAAATAAGAAATTGCGCAGAACTGAGAGCAAAGAAATTAAGAACTTTGAATGAAATTGATCTTGAAAGCTTACAGAATTGAGGTCAAGTAAGACTCTGGTTGTCTACCGATGTCTTGCAAGAGCTCAGTTCTAGCGAATATATAGAAGAAAAGGATAGAACCGGGTACTCATTGGGCCCCATCGCATTCTTATCCTTTCCTCTATTATTGTTAGACTTCTTGCGG